TTGTAGCTCTGATGTCATCAGCAATTCTACGTCTTACTCTTCTTACCCTTCCTCTCCCCCCTCCTCGTTCTCTCCCCCCTCCTTGTCCTCCTCTTGCTACTCCTTGTCCTTGTCGTCCTCTTCATCCTACTTCTTCACCTCCACGTCCTCTTCCTCGGCCTCCTCTACTTCTCACTCTTCCTGCTCCCTCCATTGTACTCCACACACAGAGCTTACCTGTATTATAGTGCTTAGGCTGATTGCAAAGTGAACTAATTATCTAAAAAAGTTTTCACATGTGACAGTGTGCCAGACAGTTGGCAAAATAGTGTAAATAATAGCCATAAATGTGTATAGTTTTGCTAGGAGTGCGTTGGCATTTGGAAATTGAGTGTAAAGCAGTGAGTTGTGTTTACAGTTCTGCAAAAAGAGTGCTGTGCAGTGGATTGTAGCTACAGGTTTGCAAAGTGTGTGTTACAAAATGGCAAAATTGTGCTATAAGAATCACAGTTAGGGTTTAAGCATTCAGAAAAAACTGTAATCACATCAATTAAAGCTTTGTGGCTAAACTCTGTTAATGTCATTAGTAACACCTGTGTTTATAACTACTCTTTTGCTGTATGTTTTTACTTTTTGGACATACTCATAGTTTATGATTGTAATGTCTTGTCTTGCTCTAGGTATATGCTACAACCTGTTCATTCAGAGAATGCTACACACAGTTTAAACTGCACTCTAAGCCTCTGCAGCTAATTATTGTTTACAATGGTGTCATTCCGGTTATACCTCTGAAGCGTGCGTTTCCACTAACATGGCTAACTTGGAATGTAACACAAACTAACAGCCATCATCAATTTTATTTGTTCAACTGTGATAGTCTTGGTATGACAAATAAAAATGGCTGCCATGGAAAGGACAGGCTGCTAATACATGAAATGCCTTCAGGTTACAACAGTTCCTGTTTCTGAAAATGTGTTAAAGGTAAGTGTGTTATCATTCTGGCAAGGATTTGTTTTTGTAAGAATATTGGATTGTGATCTCTTCCTTGGCTCATGAAGTGACTCGGGTTTTCTTGGCCTTTGTTAACCACGTTAGCAATATTGTTCATAAAATAAAAGTGTAACGGGAAAGCATTAGCATGTGTTTTCATTAGCATCAGTGTCTTGATAAGTGTTATCTTGGTCAGATATTTGTTAGATAAGAACGTAATAGGAAAGCTTAAAAAGGCTTATTACAAATGTTGAGACTGCCTGTTCAATAATAATAATAATAATAATAATGATAAAAATAATAATGTAGCCCGGGAAATGGTTAGCCACACAGGACACAATTACTGGGGTTCTTAATGTGCAGTTTTATTGTCAATGACGACTGAATAAACCAAAAAAAAAAGTCCTTTGACCTTTACTTTTGTCAAACAGCGGCCATATGGACTTGTACTGAACATCGACAGCACGAGAGGTGGCAAAGTAACAGAATAACCGATTAAACAAAGATGCGCCAATACAATACGAGAATAAAAGAAATGAAATGAAATACAAAACACAAAAATACGGCAGTGGCCTCTGTCTGTGCAGAACAAAATAAAAAGAGCTAAATCACACAAGGCCCCTTTAAAAAAATGTGGAAGTGTTACATACATTTTTATAAACACTTACATTCCACAGAAATCTCAGCTCACTTGCAATACTGGAGCACACAGACGATCTCGCAACTTATCCCTTGCATGGAGAAAATGGCCGCTCCACGCTGCACATACAGGTCCTTTGCATCATACATTTAAGAAATACATCATCTTGTTAAAATACTGACGTTTTGCCACTGCACTACAATTATACCAATATGTTTCAATGAGTTATGTGCATATTTAACAATTCCTTACCAACAATTTAACTCCTTCACAACATTCCCGTTCCACATCCACAACAAAAAGAAAAGTAAACAGGAAGTTCCAAGATGCATTTGTTGTTAAGTTTTTTTTGGAAAACTGCAGTTAACGCTTAAGCACTGTCCCCCACCCCCCCACCCAGTGACCACAATATGCAACTACACAAACCTATAAAATTAACAGCTTCAAGTGCACACAACATGCAGATAACCAAAGAAATAGCACAAGCAATAACATTAAATTACCCAATAACATTCTTGTCTTAACATACATGGAAACAAAGAAACAGACCCCTTTTTGAACCTTAAATGGATACTTGGTTAACTGAAATGGAAAATATTATTATTAGGCTACAATAATTTAGATTTTTGTGGCAGTCAAATTGAAACAGCAGAACATTTACTTTAAGTGTAGTTTTGCAAAATGGTCACTAGAGAGCAGCAAAATATCACTGAATCCTAGTTAGAAAATAGCTGAAACTGTATGTTTCTGTTTTTAGGCTCCATACCTGTATCACTTGTATTTTAAAAGAAAAACAAATATCCTCAGAACAGCAGCATACTTACCTGAACACAAACAAGCAAACTCTAAATCACTCCCAGACTGGTTTTCATGTGTGTTTCCTTTTGGTAGAACACAAATAAGAAAGTTTTATTTATTTGATATCTATCCTGAGGCATTTGATCCTCAATAATCTAAAGTTCAAAATAAAAGACCTGCACACACAACCGGAGGCACTGTCATGATAGTCTTGTCATGTCGGCACAGTGCAGTATTGTAGATGCTAGTACTGTGCAAAAATATTATTGATAGAAATTCAGAAATAGGTACAGAGGGTGTAATAAAACACAGGCAAACATAAATGAAAATAAAGCATATATATTTAATTCTAAAGCGATTAAAAGGTGAAATTTGGTAGGACCACCTTTGTTTTTAAACACAGCCTGAACTCTCTCAGGCAACTTTCTTGTAATTTGTAGTAGTCTTCAGGAATAGTCCTCCAGGCTTCCTGAAGGACGCACAAAGCTCTTCTTTGGATGTTGGCTGCCTTTTGTTCTGTTCTTTGTCCAGATGATTCCACACTGCTTCAGTAATGTTGAGGAGGCCAATTCCCGGCACTGAGGAGGCCAATTCATGACTGATGGAGTTCCATTGCTTGTTTACTGTCCAGGCAGGCTTTCACTGCACTGGCCGTGTGTCTCTCCTGACTTCTCCAGTCCACTCCAATCCAGAGTGATGCCACTGATTTTCAGTCCAGTTTTTGTGTATTTTGGCATACCTGAGCCTTTTGTCTCTGTTTCCATTTGTTAGGAATGGCTATGACAGTCACTCTTCCACTGAGAGTGGAATCAACATTTCATTTGATCTGAGGTCACATTACAAGTCTTTGATGTAGACAGTTTCTTTCACCTGCCACTTCTTATGTTGTCTCCCACCCATCAAGTTTCCTCAGATTTTTCTTAAACATACACTGCAATCCATGTCAAAATATGTCAAGTTTTCTGGCTAATAGTTCTCTGGGAATCTGGGAATTTTATGGCTGTTGAATTTTCTATTCAGCTAAAGAAATGGAAAAAATTTAAATAAAAACAGAAATTCCAGAGAGGCAGATAGCAACAAAGTGCCTAAAGATACAATTTAAAATTGGTTCTTTGCTGTGCTTGAATGACTCAGCCAGTGTTAAGTGCCTTAATAAATACACTTGACCTGAAAATGGTGAGGTAAAAAGAACTTCACAAAGCCTGGAGAACTATTGCTGAAGACCACTTTAAAAATGTATTAGAAAATCTGGCTCCTTGGAAGCAAAATATAAAAAAAAATGAGGGGTAGTTAAAAAGTTTAATTCAGTACTATATTTGCACAGGTACAGTGTGATCTACAGCCCGTGTGCAGTCACATGTTGCAGAGAATTTTGCAGTCTCTTGATGGAGGCAAGTGTTCTATATATCACCGGCCTGGTAATAAAGGGGTTATTCTTGCCCTTGGCCAATATATGCTAATATATGCCATATTCATATGGCATATATTAGCAGAACCAAGTTTCAGCTTCTTTTTGGCAGGCACCTGCTAGTGTTACTGATTTCAGAAAAGCTGAAACAATCACATATTTCTCACAGTTTCAGTTGCAGATCTTACAAGAAAGTTAAAAAAAATGATCAAAGACATCTATTTATGTTACATAGCAAAATCCATTCAAAGTGTTGTACAGACAAACTAATACAAATGTGAGAGTACGTTAGTATAACGTAATAAAACTGTGAGAGAAGGAGATTGCATTAAAAAAATTTCATTTAAAAAACAAATCTTTAATATTACAGTTTGAAGTTGTAACGTATTCATGGAATTATAATTTTAGGGTAAAAAAAAAAAACCCTCTATAATACTAAAGAGAGAAACCCAATAATTTTCTCATCTAGGTGTCACAGGTTGCCTTATTTCGACAATTCTTATAATATGTAATACGTGTAATTCCTATAATTTACACTAGGTGGTGGTATCGCACTGACTATTCGCCTCTTATCAATGAGCTCTGTGATTAACTGATATCAAATTTAATCTGTGCGATATATCAGCTCATGAGCTTATGTAGAAGCTCATAAACAGATCTGTGTAATCGCACCAAATTCATTCTGCTTTGGTGAAGCGCGCAGATGATTTTCAAAATATCTGTTTTTCATTTTTCCATTGACCTAAACGCAGCAGCCGGGCCATTCCTGTATGCTTGCTTTTGCAAAAGAAGCTGCAGTCAGTTAATGCCCCAATAAAAGCATAATATGCAAATCATGTGGTGACAAATGGGAAAGGATTTGTGCTCGAGGGCTTATGCGAAAAACAGGTAAAAAAAATGTGAAAGAAAAAAATATTTAAAAGTTATGGTGCCTGTTGGAGTGCTACCCTGGCTATGGAGCAGTGGGTATAACGCTGGACATTATGGGAGCTTCGGAGAAGAGATGATTTATGCTGCGCTTGGTGGGTTTGCAGTGGCAATTTTGAACACTGAGATTTGAAATTTGCAATCACCGGGGCGTTGGTGGTGATAGAGTAAAGCTAACGGGAGAGACACGGAGAGAGAGAGAGGGAGAGGGGAGAAAGGAGAAAGGGAGAGGGGAGCAGATACTTGGTAACGCATCACAGCAGGACAGGCAATCGAGTCTAAAGGCGCCCAGCCAGCGACGGACACGGACGAGGAAGGTAGGACAATATGATAATGACATGATCACACAGTTATGAGTTTGTGGACACAAAGCAGAAATGGAGTGATGACTGCAACAGGAGAGAGGTTTCCACATAATTAATAATGTTTTGCGTGATCTGCTCTAGCACTTAAATCACCATGTGCCGCAATTTGCGACTTTTTTATGCTCACATATAGGTCTCTGACTTCGGCATTTGGTGAGGCAGTGCGTTTTCAATTTCCGCACAAAGAAGAGTTTTGGAACTAGTTGCCTGGTGATGCAATTAATATTTTAATGTGGTCGAATTTTACAGAAATTTTGGACATTAAACAGCACCTGCACTTCATTCAAGTCGGGTCGTTTTCTGTAATGCCTCCGTCCAACTGTTGCTGCTGTATCTTCTTGTTACGTTATTATGTCAGAGTAACTAAAGAGTCCGTACATGTGAGGTAGGGTGCATTCTTGCGCAGAGGTGTCAGGTGTACGGTGTTATCTCAGGTAGCCCTGGAGACTCTAGAGGTGCCTGCTGGGAAGCGCCCCGGTGCCCACTTACTTATTCATGTGTCACCTGAACACCGCTGCGACGCAACGCTTACTTAGAACTTTTATATATATATATATAAATGCGTGTGTGTGGATTTGCTTCATAAATAGGTGATGCTGCAGCTTTGCATAGTAGCGCCTGTGTACTTGTGGTTGTTATGAAGCTGAATGACATCGTTATATGCTTGCCTCTAGCAAAGTGAAATATGTGACTATGAGGAAAGAGTAGTTCAATCAAGTTCTTTTCAAACTGTAAACCTGATAAAGTGGACAGAAATCCACTTTATATGTGTTTTCATGTATTTATCTATGTGAGCAAGCTTCTTACCATAGCAGTAACGAATCACTTGCGATCAAGGCTAATATAGTAATATCTTTTTGCCTTAAACAGTATAATTCAGATTAAACTTTGTAATCAGCAGCTGCAGTTTTAATCGGGATTATTTAATTAAACAGTCACCAAGATTTTTGTGCCTCTGAGAACTGAAAGAGTGTCACTACTTTTATTGTAATCCACTGCAAGATCATTTTGGCTTTGGTAATCCCATATTCTGGCTTAATACTGTAAGTGCAAATATAATTGTTTTGCTATTGTGACTTTGGTTATAATGTTAAAATATACCATAAAAACTATATTTGCTTGTTTCATAAGCCTTTAAAACGATTGTTAGAATGTGACCTTCTGTTCAAAGAATCTCATGTTTTATATTCTGCACGTGATAAACTGAAGAGAAACTATTTCAGTGTTTCATGCATTATGTGGGGAAAGCACGCCTCTGACAGTTGCCATTTCTGAGTCACTGTCATTCTTTAAGTTCAAAAATAGGAGAGAAAAATAGTGAAACGGAGAGTCCATATCTGACAGACGCCTTGACTGACAGCCTCAAATGAAACCCAATATGAGGGATAGAGGAATGAATTGCAGATATGGTGACTGTACTGGGCTGTTGTATGAGGTCTCAGGCAGGAAGCAGAGCAGAGGATAAAGACAAGAAAAAGCTGTAGTACTGTAAAGTTTAAGAAAGGTAAACTTGCGTAAGAGGAAAAGGTGGGAAGATAATGAAGAGTGTGGAAAAGTGATAGATATTAAAATGAGGCAAGTCATTTTGTTCTGTGGTGTTGGCATAATTGCTGCAGCTCAGCTAATCTGTGGAAATTGTGAGTGGAACCACTGGGAAAGGGCTGCTGTTAATTATCAGGTGTGAAAGCATCTGAACAGGCTGTGTACCTGCTCTTGAGTGACAAAGAAGTGATGGCTGAAATGTTGGTACTAGTTATTGGTATGTTTGTTTATTTTGAATTAATAGATTTCTAGAAGTCAGAATTGAGTTTAACAGATTTTTTAAATTATCATCTATGTACAGTGCACATGTATATTAACTCTCCATATGACAGCTTTCAGCACAAAGCTCACAGATGAAAGGTTTCCGGCCTTTTGACTTTCAGTTTTAATAACTACACCACATTCCCTGTGATTATAGCCATTGCATGTTTCCCACTTTTCCAATTTCTGCACCAGCCTCTCTCCTGGTCCAACTACGTGTGGTCATTAAATCAGCCAAGGCAGTCGGGCAGAACTGAAGAAAACAGGCTAGAGAAGAGGAGAGGGAAGAGGAGACGATTTTGCTCAGCCAGTTGTTTTACAGGTGCTGCCATCCTTAGGAATGTGAACACAGGCTTTTCTTTGTAATGGTGTACAAAAGGCACATATTTGATCAGATCAGTGACATTGTCCTCTTAGTGAAGGAGATGGCTAAAAGAGTTGGTTGTAAACCCAACAATCCACAATAATCCTGTTCTGGTCTATTGCTACTAATCCCTGTATTGATTCTTTATTGTGTAAGTGTGAAAACATTATGAAGGAATTTAGAAATTGAAATTTCCCTACGGAGAAGACTGAAGCTTTTTATTCATTGTAGTGAAAACACTGGGGATTCACATCTAAGCCAGAAGCATTTACCATATTGAAATGCGTTCTCCCCTGGAAATAAACCATGCCATGTAAAACAAACAAAACAGCAATTTAATGGCAGCTCTGTGACAAATCCTTGTTGTTGGTATTTGTGCCTGGAATACTGCCCTGAAGTCGGAGTGGAACAGAATGGAAGATGATGGAGGGGGAGGAGAGACAGGGAGGGCGAGGAAAGATGGGAGGCAGGACTGGTTGAGGTGAATGGTTGGGATGCAAAGGTCATCTGTGTCGGAGAAGAGCTGCTAAATGTTGTGTTTTAATCTTTCAAACAGAATAGACAGTCAAGTGCAGGCAGAGTAGCATGACTGTATCCTAACAGAGACAGAGACAAAAGGAGATGAATGAGTCTCTACAGGCTATCGGCTGCCCTGTGACACAGCTGTCTGTGTTTATGTTGTCTGATATACACTCGGGCCTCTGCTGGGACAGCGTTACCAAGCTCATCGCGGCGCATGAAGGCCAAGTGGAGAAAGAGCCTGGCGACGATACAGGCGTTTTATGACTGACATGAAAATTTGGGAAGGAAGCAATCAGTTCAGATTATGGGGGAGTTCAATTTGTTTAGCGTCACAGAATCTGAGCGCGAAAGAAAGAAAAATCACAGGTTAGCCCTGAATTGAGGGAAATATAATGTATATTGAAATAGATGGTGCGTTATTTCTCTGATTATGGTGTAAAAAGAAGGGAAAGAATTTAAAAGAGCTGTTTTAGGGTATCTACTGTATGGCTGACTGGAGTGGAGATAAAAAACATTGTGATCGGGTAAAATGAAAGTGGAGTTGAGAACAACAAGGACGTGACAGTATATGGATCTTGGCTTTTTAGCAGTAGATGGATGAGAGGAAAAAGTCACCTAGTATATCATTATGTTCACACCACATACTTATGCCACATAAAAGCCTAAAATAAGAGCATTAAGATTGCGTTGTCACTGTGCACTTAGGAAAAAGGAGATGACAGGAGGAGATACAGCTGTCTGACTCTGCCGTGGTGTTTTAAATGAAAATCTTATGAGACAACGAGCCGTAATGTTTATCTTTTTCCCCCACACAAAAGCCCATTATGATACTTTTTTTTTGTGCATCATTTTGTGTTTGTTTTTCATTGCGTCGAATATGGATCTAGTCAACTGTTCTCACTTTTTCTGGGAAATTAATATTAAAGACATTCCTTCAGAACCATTCTTGGCTTTCATAGCGTACATATGTCATCATCATTTATCATCCACGCTTAAGCATTTAATCACCTAAACATTTAAAAGACTTGTATATCCACAAATGTGCTCCTTTACCATACTGTAATAACACATGCCTACTCTGTCACAGGTGTTGATTTTTGTCCCTGTGCTCTTTAGCCCACAGCCTCCGTGATTTCCCCAAAGTATTCGAATTTTGATTGGTTAGAGCACTGGATTTTCCAGAGCTTCATCCCAGTCCATCTTAGATGAGCTCAGAAGGCAGCAGCTTTTGTGGATCTATGTTATATGTTTTTCTCTTCTTTGCATATTAGAATTTTAAGTGTGTGTGAATGGGTGTGTGAATGGGTGGATGACTAAACGTGTAAAGCGCTTTGGGGTCCTTAGGGACTAGTAAAAGCGCTATACAAATACAGGCCATTTACCATTTTTAACTCTCAGTGCATTTGTAGTTGGAGTGATACACTGTCTTTGCTAACAGTTCACTAGACTTTTAAAAATGATCCCTGAGCCCATTTAGTGATTTTCACTGCAGAACTTTGCCTCTGAGGGGCTTTTATTGGTTTTTGGCTGTAATGCTGTTATTTTATATTTGTTAACCCCTTAATTCTTTGAGTATCATATTTGATGCAGGCAGTTTTTTGCGAGTTTTGGAGACTTCTGCATCATCAGTGTGACACCCCCCCCCCCCCCGAAAAACAATACATTTTTGAACAATAAAAAAAAATGCCAGCAAATAAGATGCAAATTAATTGTTAAATATGGTAATTAACATTTTATTTATTTACAGATTTGTGAGATAGTTCAATGAACTCTCAATTTTGTAAGAAACTTGGATTTCTGGCAATCATTTCATGGTTAGGCATTTCATTTTTTAGATTTTTCCATGTAAAATCCCTCTGGGATGGTAATTTTTTCTTATATTGAATCATCTTGTTAATTAACTGAGTTGTGAAATGTTTCACCAGATGTCTCTTTTAAGCACTACACTATTTTTGCACTCTTTCCTTGCCCCTGCTCCAACATCCTTGAAACCCTGTTGTTACTGTTATTATCCCATGTAACACTGAACATGCTGAGGACAGACTCTTGGGTCACGCCAGCAAGACCATAATTGTTTTATTAGTAACTGTAATGTGATCACTGAATTTAGGAACAGCAAAACCTTATTATACATTTGAATGTTGTTGCACCCAGTGCTGATTGTAATTTGCTTTTCACACGTTGTGGTGTTGGTCAACACGGGACAGGGTGTATCAATTGCACCTTTTCAAGCGTTTTGTTACAGGCTGCTGTAATGATGCGC